CTTTTCCTTTTTGACTGGATCCCTTTCTGGTTTGGGAACCAGGGTAATGCTTGCTTCTAGGAATGAGTTTGAGAATACTGCTTCCCTTTCAATTTCACTAAGGAGTTTGAGAAGTAGTGACATTAGATCTTCTCTAAATTTCTTGTAGAATTTGGCAGTGAATTCATCAGGACCTGAGGTTTTCTTTGTTGGCAGCTTTTTAATTACATCTTCAGTTTCATTGACTGATATTGGTTTGTTAAGAATGTTTATATCTTCTTGATTCAGCTTTCGCAATTCATATGTATCTAGGAATCTATCCGTTTCTCCTGTCTTTTCCATCTTGAGTATAGGTTCTCAAAGTAGGTATTGGTGATCTTCTGGGTTTCTGCAGGATCAATTGTGGGTTCACCATTCTTATTCTTAATTATATAGACCTTTTCTTTCTTTTTTTTATAAGGTTGCCTAGGGCTTGTCAGTTTTATTTAATCATTCAAAGAACCAACTCTTCAATTCAGTGATTCTTTGTATTGTTTTCTTAGTCTCAATTGCATTAATTTGTGCTCTGATCATTACAATTACCTCCCTTGTATGAGCTTTGGACTTGACTTGCTCTTCTTTTTCTGGAAGTTAGAGGTTCAACATTAGGTTGTTTATTTAGGCTTATTCTGTTTTTCTAATGTGAGAACTCACTGCTATAAATTTCTCTTGTAGGACTGCTTTCATTGCATCTCATAAGTCCTGGTAGGTTGTTCTGGCATTATTGTTTAATTGTAGAAGCTGATTGCTTCTTTAGTTTCATCTGTGATCCATTGGATGTTCAGGAGGGTGCTATTTAATTTCCATGTATTTATATAGTTTTTTTGTGGTTTGTTTTGTCATTGAATTCCAATTTCATTGCACTATGGGCTGATAATATGCAGACGTAAGCATGTTCTATGAATTAGAATAGCCTTTTTGTCTGCCCCAAGGTCCTAATTTCCCAATTTATTAGGGATGAGAAGTTTCTACCTATTTGGCTCAGCACCCAGTCCTTTGGTACTAGACTATGGTGATGATTATGACCCCAGATAATCATGGTGTTGTCATGCAAGGGAGAACAACTGACTACAACAGGTTGGACAACCCAGCTAAAGTAGTACAATTAGCAATAACAACAGCATCAAGTACAACCTAGAAACTGACAAGCTGTGGTAACTATTAATTTGGTACCTTTAACCACAGAAGCAAGACTCCATTTATATAACAAAATCCAACATAAACAGGAACTTGGATGCAGTAAGTTTCCCATTAGTAAGAGTGATTTTACCCTGTGTGTGGCAGAGGGGTAAGAGAGATAGGGGAAAAAATAGAGAGGTAAATGAAGAGAAATACAATAGAAGCAAGGCTGAAGGACAAGGGATGATCATCCAAGCCTTGGGAAACTGGAGGTAAGGACAAGAGAGAAAAAATGAAGGAGAAAGTAAAAGAATATTGAAGCAAACCAGAAAGACTAGAAACAGTGTTCACTCACATGAAAATATCAGCAATGTCAAGAAAGATATTTGAGGAAAGAGAGAAAAAAGGCAAAAAAAAAAATCAAAACATACAATAAAAGTAAAAACCTAAATAACCAAAAAACAGAGACAGAAAACGGAAAACAAAACGGACAAACAAAATTCCTCTGGTGTCCACAGTTCTGTAATAGTGTCTAAGTCAGAGCCCAAATCTGTGCTGGGTAATCCCGCCAAGTCTACAGCAGAATCGGTGCTGGGTGAGGGGCTTCTTGGCCTCTGGATGTGGGGCTGGGGCCAGAGTCTTCAGTCAGCAGCTTCCCGGATGTCTCCCGGCGGCCCACTCATGTCCCCTCACACTGCCTCTGTGTCACTCTCCGTTGCTGTGGTGCCCTCAGCCAGCTCAAGGCTCCTCCGAGTCTTGTGTACAGCTGCCCATCTCAGACCTTGCACAGCCTCCTGCTCCACTTCACTGGCCCGTGTCTCTCCTCTCTCACGCCACTGGGAGAAGGGCAGGGAGTGGGAGTGTGCTGTCAGCTAACTCACTGCCCCAGCCACTACTGTGGAGACAGCCAAGGGCTGCTCGGGTCCCACTTCTCTCTTGCACTGTTGGGAGCCGGGCAGGAGTGTGTGCCCACTTCCCACTCGTTGCCCTGCTAGGTCCCAAGGCTCCTTAAATCCCATGTCTCTCTCCTTTCTCACACTGCTAGGAGCAGGGCAGGAGGAGTGGTGCTGCTCCAGTCACTACCTTCACCCCCACTGCTGTGATCCCTAACCTGCTGGGACTAGAGGTTCCAGTTAGCCGCTATGGCACATACACACACACGCGCACGCGCGCACGCGCACACACACACACAAAACAAAACTGGCAGCCTGTTGCAGAGGGAGCAGCTTCCCTGTCACTCGCCCCATGTGTGCTGGCAAAATTTATTGCCAGGGTGCAGCACACTCTGTACGGAGGGTGGAGAAGGAGGCGAGGGCCCTTATACCCCAAATCTATCCTGTGTGGCTTGAGTTGGCCACACTACTGCCTTCCATCAGGCTTTTGAGAATCTCCAGGAATGGCTACTCCTCCATGTGCAGGCAGAGCCCTGTGGGCTGGTTTGCCAATTTATAACGTCCCATGCCTATGTTTTGTTTGATCTGCAGGTCTCTTATTTCAGACTGATTTGGGCACCAGGATCTACGTCCCTCCTTTTCGTCCAACTGCCTGTGCTTTCAGTTGACTTTCGATGAGTCACTCCAATGTGGCTCCTCCTCTGTTCAGCCATGTTGAATCCCCTGTAGTAACTCATTTTTGAAAATAAACTCTTTTCTGTAACTTCCAGGAATAAATACTTTTTATGCTTTCAAAGAACTAGCTGTTTATGGGGCTGGGGATTTAGCTCAGCGGCACAGTGCCTGCCTGGCAAGTGCAAGGTCATGAGTTACATTCCCAGTACCGGAAAAAAAAAAAAACAAAACAAAAAAAACAAAACCAACAAACAAAGAACTAGCTTTTACTGGAGAATGATGCATGTATACGTACACACACGTGCACACATGCCTACCTAGAAAGTAGGGGAGTTTGTTGTAGTAAAATATACATGGAATATGTATCATTTTGACCATCTGCAAGTATACAGTTCATTGCACTGAATAAATTCACAGTGCCACTTTACCACAATTTACACCGAAAACTTTTTAATCAGCCCAACAGAAATTCTGTACCCTTCAAATCATAATTCCCTATCCTCTCTTCCCTCTGGTCACCTTTCCCCTGATTTCTGACTCAGATTTTGCATATTCTTTGGGCCTCATACAAGTGGAATCACACAATATCTGTCTTTCATTTTACACTCTTTAATGTGCACAAAATGCTATATATCTAGAAATGAATATATTCCACTGGATGAACTTAATACAGAAGAACATTATGAATGCCTCAAATTGTTTTTGCACACCAAACTGCAGCTACAAAGGATCTAAATAATATATAGACACAGGTGATTTTTTTTTTTGAAAGACTAAAACTCAAAAGACCTAGGCACAATGACTCAACAGAAAGCTATCTCTGCTTCCCGGCAATGTGGAAATGTAGCCACGAGCACAAAGTCGCTGGAGCACACTGCAGTCGAGGGATGATATGAACTGCCCTTTGAAATTTTCCACAGATTGATTCTCTGACTCAGAGCCAAATCCTACCCTGGTTATCAGCCCACATTGAGCTTAACACAGTCCCAAGGGACCCAGAAACTCAGAAACAATGACCCAGGAAACATGAAAATTCTGCAGTAGACAGAATTCCTCCCCTGGGAGGACAATAAGGGTCTCCTTGGGTCAAATGTTGGCATTTCGCTCCATGATTCCCGGACAATTTAGATTGTCCATCTGGGGCATCCATAGCAAAAAGTCTCCACATGCCCCTTCCTTCTCCCAACCACATCTTGGCAAATGCAAAAGTGATGGAGGAGGCCCTGCATTCAAGTTGTTTTTAAAAAACTACTCATTGGGTGCATTTCCTCCAACAGAAATCTTCCCAAAGGAGAACACTGGGTATGGGCTCCACTCTTTACAGTGGAGGGTAGAGGGAGCCATGAAAGGTCAAAGGCTTCATTAACACAGCAGCCCAGAAGACCTCAGAATTCTGCAAGGATGTAAGAAAGTACAGCAATACTGGTCACAGCCAGAAGACTTCGACTAAAAATAGAAAATCAACTGTCTCATCGTGCTTCTACTGAACTGTGAAATACGGATTTTAGAAATACCCGCAAGAAGTCCATGCTTTGATGCTTATGACAGTGAATTCATATCAAAGTAACACCCACCTCTGTGAAAAATTAAACTAAGTAAATTAATAAATGGAACTGGACAGACTTAGGCTGTAGGCTTCGTAAATGTACTTGTCAATTCAATCATTTTACGCAACGTCTTTGTTACCTCTCGGAGCAACTCAAATGCTAAGGGAAGCACAGGTTGAGTGTCTGGACAGAGTAGGGTATAGTAAATGCTACCTGTCATTATATCTTGCTTTTGTTTCCTGAAGTATCCTCGTCAAAATGTATCCAATGACTTTTCAAGGTCTATCACCCCTTAGATTCACAGCTACAAAGAAAAGATACAGCAATGGTCTTTTTTTTTTTTTTTTTTTTTTTTTTTTTTTTTTTTTTTTTTGTAGCTGGAATTGAACTCAGGACCTTGTGCTTGCCAGGCAGGCGGTGTGCCTCTGAGCTACATCCCCGGTCCAGCAATGATTTTACAAAGCAACAGGAATCTGAACTGTTACAGAATTCTGTGGTGAGATCTGACCTGGTGCGCCACTTCATAACTTCACTACCTACTTAAATTCAGCTTTACACTAACTTACATAGTGCTCACCACCAAGCTCTTTGGAAAATCACCTTCCTGGAGTACTCACACAATAAGAATTGAAATGGTCTCTTTTCCCAGGCTCCAAAACTGCCACTTTCAAGGCCATGCACATATGTCACATCAATAACCATGACCCATGAGCTACTTGCTGGCTTAGAAGCAAAGTGGAGAACTCACATGGTGATCTTCAATGTTTTTCAGCAGCCGGGGATCATTAAAGTCGCAAGAATCGCTTGTGGGCGGAGGCATCCGACTGCGAGAGAAAACAAGAAGTATTTATCCAACTCAAAAGCTCCTGCTATGATGACTCAGACCCGGTAAGAATCTGACTTGAAGAAGAACCACACATAACAACTCCACAGACTTGTATCCAACCTCTGAAGATTTGCAATACTGTATGTTATTTCAAATCTTAAGATAGTAAATCCTTACTGTTATTACAAATAATATATCTTATAAGTTCCTATAAACAACAGCATAGTCACAAGGGAAAGAAACAGAAGCCAAGGGCTGATACTAAGACTCTGTTATTTCAGTTGGGCCCTGCATCAGTTCTACCAGAAATAAAATCCAAGAAAGTCTTCTCAAAGCAGACAATAGGAATGGCAGGATTGTATACGGGCAATCACTTAAGGCCAGAAAGAAAACGGGATGTAACAGCAGCGTGCTACCACACTAAAGAAATGTGGAGAGTAAGTACACTCACCTCTCTACTTGATCCTTAAACCCATTCTCAAGACAAAGATGATAAAAGACAGCAACATAGACACTGTCCATTTTAACTGAAAACATACTGTAGTCTTAGCAAGTGACACAGGAGAGGGAAAAACCAACCAACGGCTTCCAAAGGAAAGCACCCAAAACAGAGCTGATGCCCCCGGAGAACCCCATGAAGGCTAAGGAAGTGGTGGCGTGAGGCACCTGAGAGGTCCGTGACGTCCCTCCGAGGTACAGAGTGACAGGTAATCAGGCTCGTCAACTTCACTGGACTAAGAGACGCCTGGAGAGGTGAGTGGCTTGTGATGGCCCTGACTTCACCAAGCGGATGAACCCATGGGAGAAGATCACAGCTGGACAGCATCACGGGGGGCCTTGTTGAAGGACGAGGGCCAGAGGCTATGACCTTCAGGGCCACGTCCTGTTTCCAGACCTTTCCTCTCAGTCTCTGCTTCCTGGCTACCATGAGGTGAGCAACTTTCCTCCACTATGATGTGCTCTGCCTCATCACAGGCCCAGGAATGAGGAGGCCAAGAAACTACAGGCAGAAACCTCTGAGGCCATCAGCCAAAGCAAACCTTTCCTTCCTAAAGTCAGTTGGTGCCAGTATTGTGTCAGAGCAACAGAAACTAACTAACATTTACAAGGAAAGCAGATGTCAAGATAGTTTCCAAGCCCACTGGAAGGACCCTCAGCTTGCAAGAACCCCCTGCTCATCCCCCACAGCCAGACAACGGGGTTTCCCATACCCACAGAGGGTAGAAGTCCCGTTTTTTCAGAGGGCAAACCAGAGCAGCCTCTGCCTGGTGTATTATCCAGCACTGAAAAGAACGAACCTAACAAGCAATGAAAAAACATGAAGGAACTTTAAACGCATATTATTAAGTGAAAGAAGCCACTGAAACAGGCTATCTACTATACAATTCCAACGGAAAGGACAAGGACATTCTGAAAAAGACAAAGCTGTGGAAACAGTAAGAAAATCAGGTCACAAACTGAGTGCAGTGGTACACCCCTAAAATCTCAATTTTGGGAGGCTGAGGCAAGAGGATCACTTAGGCAACTTAGTGAGACCATGTTTCAAAATTAAAAATTTTAAGAAGGACTAGGGACACAGTTCAGTGTGGAGGCCGTGGGTTCAATCCCCAGTACTGGAAGAAAAATCAATGGTTTGCAGGCACTGGGGCTTGGGACCTCGAATAGCCACGCACAGAGGATTTTTAGGGCCGTGAAAATGCCCTGTGATATGATAATGATGCGTACACACCACCACAGAAGGTACAGTGCCAAGAGCGAGCCCTCCTGTGAAGTGCGGACTCCGGGTGGCAACGCGGTGGCAGTGCAGGTTCGCTGGTTGTGACCCACCCGCTACTCTGATGGGGGATTTTGATAACGGGGAAGGCTGTGGAGGTTGCCGCAGATGACAGGAAAAGAACTCTTTGCCTTCTTAATTTAATATGGAACTAAAATTCCTCTTTAAGAATATCTTACAGATGGCTAAAGTGGTCAATTGTATGTTTTGTGTATTTACCACCAAGAAAAATAATTTTAAAATGCATGCGCACACAGCCAGTGGTCACCAGACTTTTGAAGAAGCCTATAAAATTAAGAAATCAATGCAGCGAGGGCCAGGGTGGGGGCTGAGGGTGGGAGGGCAGAGAGAAAGACACAGAAACTCAGAGTGAGGATAGCGAAGTGCTTTTGAAAGCGGAGAACAGGAGCACATGGAAATTCTCACGAAGGAGGAAAAAATACCAGAAAGTAAAACAGCAACAAAACATGGACAGCAAAAGGAAAAGGTAATAAAATTAGAAGATCATCTCCAAAGGCTGAATATTTGCCTAACAGGAGACCTAGACAAAACAGAGAGGTTGAGGGGGGAGGGAAATTATCATAAAAATAGTGTAAGGACATTTCCCTAAAATTAGTAAGAGGAACTTTCAGGCAGAAATCACTCAGTAGTACTCCACTAATCGCTCAATATAATGAAGAAAGATAAACCTACGCCAAGGGTCACAGTTACATGTTAGTATGCTAAGAACATAGAGATAATATTAAATGCTTCCAAAGGGCTGGCACAGGGGCGCCAGGGGCCAGAGGTCAGGGGCCAGGTCCCGCATAGAGGAACAGATGCTAAAACTTCTCCCATGGTGGAAAAATCTATCAATGCCTACAACTTTAAACATGTTTAAATTAGCAATGTATTATTATGGACTATAGGAATAAATTTTTTGAAGCATCAAAGAGTTAGGGTTGGTTACTTCCAGGAAATGGCAAATTCTGGACCAAGGGCAAACCACTTTTGTTAAAAGCTGTGTAGCATGGACTTTTTTGGGTTGGTTTGGTTTGGTTTGGTTTGCTGCCAGGAATTGAACTCAGGACCTTGTGCTTGCCAGGCAGATGCTGTGCCACTGAGCTATACCCCTGGCCCCTATGGACTTTTAAAACTATGTTCATATCTAAATCTTATTCTAATTTACTCTCAAAATAACATATATGCAACTTTTATTCACATATAAAACATTCAGATAAGGAAGCTACTATACAATGATTCTGAAGCCTCTTGCACTGATGAGGCAAGAAGCGTGCGGATGTACTCACGAGAAGTCATCTGAGGACGGTTCTCTCGTCAGCTCTGGGAAATGCCTGGCAGGGAGGAAACATACTTGTCATAAAACCCATCAAAAACAGGCACTCAGATCCAGACATAGCTAAGAAACTTGCAAGCATTAGCTTAGCTATACAGATTTACAGGTTCACTGGGATTTCTTACTGTTATTATTTTAGAAATAAATCATATTTTAACTGTTTAAAGTTACATTGGGATTCATTTAAGCGATACATATATCCGATTTAAGTGGTACATAGCATCTGAGAGGAACTATATATCTGATCCCTCATAAACATCAAAAAGTCAAGACACTTGATGAGGCAGCTAAAAATAAATTTATCTTGGTGGAAGAATACAGGTGAAATTTCCAGGAAGTAACGAATACAAGCACACTTACCCGTAGGTTACTCCCGCAATGCTACACTTTTTGAAGTTCATGATATTGCAGGTCAGAGTCCCAGTCTTGTCAGAAAATAGATATTTTACCTAAATCAAAGGACAAAAGAAATGCACACCGAGAATGAAATAAGATGCAAAGATCAATAAATGACATCTTTCCTTTTGTATTTTTCAAAATCTGTATTAAATTTAGATGAGTAGACTTCCTGAAAGTAAAGTTAGTAACAAAAATTATATTTCAATTCTGAGATCGGTGGCAAACCTGTTTCTGTAACTAATTTTACGGTTAAACTGCACAGAATGTGCAAAGAAAGCTTCAGCAGGAGCCCTGGCACTAAGTGTGAGCATTAAGTCCTTTCAAACAGTATCTTAATGCCGTATTTCATTCTTCAAGGTACTGCTTGGGGACTTGAGGTGCAGCTCACTTGCCTAGCCATGCAAGGCCTGGGTGTGACCCCCAGCACTGCAAAGAAAGTTGGGGGAGCGAGTGCGCAGATAAGACGCGTATGAAGATAGAACGGATGTGGTAAAAGTTACATCACTTTTCAGACGCAAAAATACACAGATTAAACACATAACATTCTTGACACATCAAGGCGAACAGGGATGTCACTGAGTAGACCAACAAGCTAGCCATCTTGACAACATTAGCAAAAGAACCACGCTCCGCGTGTAAACACAGTGGGGAAATTATGCTCCCTCAGATCAACAATCTAGTGGAGAAGAGGGAAGGAACTCTGGGCAATGAGGAGAGCGAGTTTAGTGTGAGCTACGGGCCCTACATGCTCATGCAGACGCTTACAAATTCACCTCATCCTTCTTGGCCCCAGTTCCCACATTGGTGAGCTAAAGGGTACGGCTAGAAGATATGCACCATCATTCCACATCTGGATGTTATGTCGTGTATAGGAAGGGAGGGTGATTAACAGGACTGTCCCAGAGGAAACTTCTGTTTCTTAGTGATTTTTCTAGAGAGAAATCATGATGGGTGCTAGAAAACTTCCAGAGATCCTACAGAATTGGTCTAGGGAAACAGTATTTTATAGTTCCGTGGAAGAGAGATTCGTAACATGAATTGTTTACCATGTACTTTTTCTTTAAAAAAAAAACAACATAAACAAATACACTGAGAATGATTTTTAAAAATATCAAAGGACTTCCAAGTAAAGAAAAATTGTAAGGCCAAGGAAATAGCTCAGTGGCACAAGCACCTGCCTGGCAAGCACAAGGTCCTGAGTTTGATTCCTGGTACCAAAAAAGAAAAGAAGTGTTAAGAAAAATTGTTACAGCTGCTAATGAAGTTAAATATGACATACAAATACAAAATTAGTACACTGGCGGTAATTTATGCTTTACCAATAATCTCTTTAAATTTTTATTCTATTTTAATCATACATAGTTAGGGAGAATAGTATGATAATTCAATTCATGTATACATTGTGTAATGATTAAATCAGGGTTGTCAGCATATCTATCTCCTTATACATATTTATACATATGTATGGTATTTCAATAACTGTATAAAATGTACATTAATCAAATCAGGGTAATTACATGTCAACGATAAATTTTATGTAAGTTTTTTATAAAGTAAATCTAGGCGCATAAATATATAGTAGAATTGGCCTTCAAATGAACAGTGGTTCCTTCTGCCTTTTAAAAAAAGAATTAAAAGGCTGTATCAAAACATTAAAAATGAAAATTTTATAAGAAATTATCAAGATTTGCTATAAAATTCCCTATTGAATTTTAGTGTATCCCTAAAGTTCCAATTCAAAACTATCCAAATGTCGGCTTGGCTGGTTTGAGAGCTGCCTAGAGATTATTAAACACACTTCTGGGTTGTCTGGGTGGGTCACGGGACCGTGACCTTGGGGGCCATATTTGGTTACTGGCTTCTTCTTCTTCTTCTCAGGCTCTTTCCCTGCTTCCTACTCCCCAGCTGCTATGAGGTGACTAGCTTTGCTCCACCATGCCCTTCTGCCATGACGCCTTGGAACCATGGACTGGACCCCACAAACTGTGAGCCAAAATAAACCTCTGCTCCCTGGAGTCGGGGATGTCAGGTATTTTGCCCCAGCAAGAGGAAAACTGACTAATACACACCTCTCTACATCCCATTAGGGGAATGATTTTATTTGGGAGCTTCTTGAGTACATTCAGTCTTTCATTTCTTCAGGCCCAGTTCAATGGCACCTGAGAATGACTGTATATTGAGCACTGTGCAGAATTGACAAAGGCAACACACACCCTATGCAATCTTCCCTCAGTATCCTCAGGGGACTGATTCTAGGAAACTCCCTTGGACACCAAAACCTGTGGATGCTCAAGTCCCTTCTATAAAATGGTGTAGCATTTGCACAGAACCTATGTGCATTTTTTTTATATTCCTTCAATCATTTTTAGATGACTTATACTACGTACTGCTATATAAATACTATGCAAACAGTTGTAATACTGACTTGTTTAGGGTATAAGAACAAGGAAAAGTCTGTCCATGTTTGTTACTGATGTAACCATCATAGGTCCAGCTACAGTTTCAGTGTAGCATTGGTTGAATCTGTGGATGAAGAACCCACGGACACAAAGGGCCAGCTGCGCAGGGCACATCTGTGCTTTAAAAGTGTTCAGAAGAAAAGAGATATGTGATAACTAGTCCCATCTCTTACTTCACTGTATGTGTTTGCGAAGATTGTTATGGTAATGTAGAAGACAGACAAATTAATTTTACCTGGAAAACTGGAGAAGGCAAATACAGTCTGATTGTTATAGCTTGTGTTTAGCTGTCCCCTCAAAGCCTCAGGTGGTCCTAGGTGGCTGGATCTAGAGTGTGTGATGCTAGAATTGATTCATGGTGCAATGTTAGGATTAAGGGCACCAGGATTAAGGGTACAAGTGGTACCTGCTCTAAATTGCCTGGGTAAGATATAAGGGATAGAAGGAGCTGTGGTCGCCCCTTGTTGCTCTGCTACCTTCTGCCTGTCATGAACTGTTTCTCCTTTGCCATACCAACCTGCCTTGGAGGCAGCCAATTATAGACTGACACCTCTACAAACTACGAGCTAAATAAACCTTTCGTCATTTAATTTTGAGTGTAGGGTATTTTGTCTTAGCAATGAGAAAAGTAACTAAGACACATATATAACAAGAATGTACAAATTCTTATAGGAGTAGGATTTTATCATTGATGAAGCCTTTCTAGAAAGAGAAAATGTAGGCAAAAATAGAAACAACTACAAATGTAAAGAGTGGAAGCCCAGGGCCTGCTCTGGGTATTGCCCCTTGCCCTATGTACCTGGAGTGTAACTGGGCAAGGAGGGTAGGGGTATCAGCCTTGCTGAGGAGAATTTGTGTTCTGTGCCAGGGATGATCTCTTTAGTCACGGTCCACCTGTTACTCTACAAACTTAAGGGTGCTTCTGAAAAGGTACACAGTTCAAGAAAAGATAGAAAACTTCACTATCAACTCTAAAAATATTTCGAAAATAATATCAAAGAAACAGACTCACAAGCATTTTTGCCCATAGACTTCTATTTTATTACACAATTTGGTACACAAATTTGGGCTTTGATACTCTAGCAATAAATTCATCAAAACTGCATAAATCATTATCTTTGAGGGAGAGTTAAAGAAATAAAGTACTTCTATGTGATACTTTTCTAACTCTCAAGTAAATGAGACATTTCACCTGATCTTCACAGAGGGACACAGGATAGGGGAGACATTTCTACAACAGGAAGGGAAGAGTAAGGCCAGATCTGGACAATCTGTAGTCCCCAGTCTGTCATTCCTTAGCCAGGTGTGCTGGGGTAACTTACTCCTTCCTCGTCTGCACGTTGAAAATATAACATCCACCTCACAGGGTGGTTGGGAGGTTTACTATGCACAAAGTGAAATCCTAACCCTCACCACAATGCATTCAGAAACAGTTATTCTCTGCAGCAGTTTCAGTGGAAGAGGCAGACTTGATGTAAAGTGCAACTCAGGGGAGTCAGGGGAAAGTGCTAAAATCACTTGTACCCTGGAATACAGGCAAAATCTTGAGGCTACAAGTGCTTCCAAGAGCCCACACACAGTTTGTGAAGCTACCCACTATCTAGCCACCTTATACATTGTTTTCCCTGCCATTTGCCTCAGATAAGCACTTTTTAAATGGGTCCAAAATTATATTCTACTATATTTTGCACTATTTTTTTGCAGGCATCTTCTAGGTGATAAGATACAGCTATGTCTCAAAAAGCAAGCCAAAAGCAAGTGACATCTATGTCCATTAATTTTTTCCAATACCATCTAGCTCTTCAGATATTATAACTATATTGATGGATCACTGTTCTTTTTCTTTAAGAGCAGAATATATTTATTGGGGGAAAGAAAGCTTCTGTCTGAAAAAGGGGTGGAAGGGGTCCGAGCAGGTTACCTTCTTGCAAAGTCTCTCCGTAGTTCTTGTGCTAACCCTCACTTCCCCTCCTGCTTATGTCACTGCTGCCAATGTTCCCAAAGAGGTTCTCACCTGCCCAAGCTCTTCATTAAGGTTTGATGTTCTGGCCATTGCAGGAGTGTCATTTTCTATATAATACATATCTGTGTCCTGAGAGATGACAGAGAGAAAGAGAGAGGAGAGAACCTTAGAAAATACGTACCATTCATGCTTCATTGCTTCACTCAGACTAACACAGAAGCTAAGAACAGGTAACTTAAAACCCTTTCATTTTAATATATATGCTCGTTCTTTTTACTTTATTTTGGGGTGAAAATACAGTGGCTGTTGAAATACGAAAATCTTCTTACATAGGGGGGAAATGGTATTTTATACACAGAAGGTTTGGTTTCAAGACCATCATTTCACATCCTAAACTGACTCCTGATTTTGTGCTTAGTGCATCCTTTGCAGAACTGCTGTAAAGAGCAAATAAAGGTGAATGTACGTGTGCCCGCTCTGTGAATTCTGACTGCTGGTGTCTAGTGCTCCGGGGTCATGAGAGTCCTTTTAAAATCCAGGCGTAGGGATTGGGGTGCAGCTCAGTGCACTAGAGTGTTGCAGCGAGCAGCCGTGGGCAGCGTAGAGGATGAAAACAATTATCCAGACAGAAGTCTTAGTTTAGTCACCAAGAGGTGCAGAGAGGCTACTTCCCAGCCCAGAGCACCCAGCCATCGGGGAGACTCTGGAAAAAGAAAAGGCCGCTGGGGCCTCTCGGTGACCAAACTAAGTCTTGTCTCTGGGTAATCTCTTCCATCCTCTACCCGCCCACAGTAGCTCACTGCGACAAGTGTGTCCTGCAGAGGTGAAACAAGGCGCTGCAGATCAGCGCAGAGGACGGACCTCCCAAGCCTGGAAAAGGACCAAGGACACCCCCATGGGCCTCTCCACCCCAGGGAGAGAGCACAACCCCAGAACAGACTGGGAAGCCTGAGCAAGGTCAGTGGTTAGCTTCCTCAGCCCGGATGTCTTTTACCTGTCCCACTGCTAAGTGAGCAGGGGCAACTTTTTTGGTTTTTACTTTGCTCTTTTACTTCACTTCTCCTGCTTTGCCTACAATAAAGGTTGAACTTTAAGGAAAAAGAAAGAATGTACACAACACTTACAATGTCTCTTAAAAATAAAATAAAAACTTTTAAAAAAGGAAAAGAGAAAACAAGGCTGAAGACAAAAAATCAAAATATGATAAACTGGGACTAATCTGTAAAAAAACTCATATCAGTGTTGTCACAAAGACTCAATGCAATGGCATAAACATCTGAGAGTGTGCCCCGATTAAATATAACCATTTTATGTGTTCTGAATGCTATTTTGCCTGTTCATCTGCTTGTTGATCTGATTCAATAACTGATAAGGTACCTGCAGCTGCTTCATTAAAGATGTCTCAGCTCATTCCCCTTCTGGGTATTTTCCCAGAAGAATTAAAAACATCATACCACAGCAATATATGTGCACCCATGTTTATAGCAGAGCAATCTGTCATAGCTAAATCTTGGAAACAACCCAAATGCCCATCAAGTGAGGAATGCATAAAAAAGATGTGGTGTTTTTATACAATGGAGTATTACTGAGCTATAAAAAAAGATAAACTCAAGGCTTTTATAGGTAAATGGATGGAACTCATAAGTGAGACCATACCCATAAGTGAAATATATCAGACACACATGTATAAACATCATATTGTCTCCCTAGTATAAGAACCTGAAAGAGTAAGTAAAACCCAAAACTTACAATAGATACTATGAAAGGGAAAGGAATTGCTCAGAGGAAGAAATGACTGGGATGAGGGAAAGAAGCAAAAGAAAGAAGGAAGGAAGGCAATAAGAGAGAGAGAGGGAGAGAGAAGGGTAGCTGGGATAACTGTACTGCTGATGTCTGGTGCTTTATTGAAAGGAACAATTAATGCTTAAAATCTTTTTTATATTTTGACCAATTTTGCATGCTTATATCTGGTAATCTGAGCAACTGATATGAAGACAACAATATGCAATATAACAACCATTGGTGAATTCCTACCATCTTTACTGAAACTCTGTACTGTCTCTAACTTTTTTAAATTATTATTTCTTATTCCCTTTCATGGTTTGATCAATCTTGCATTCTTACATCTTGTAATCTGAGCAACTTCATTGAAGATAACAATACATAATATAACAATCACTGTTAATTCCTATTGTTTGGTTTGAAAGCCCATATCATTTTTAATGTTCTTGCTTTGTTTTGTTTATATCTTGCTATTGTTCTCTTTTTTCACTATTCTCTTTAAAATAAAAATAGAGATCTCTGCGCTCATATCAATTTTACTTTTTCTTTTATTTTTCTCCCCATAAACTTCTGTCTCTTAAGAGAACACGGTGAAGTGAAACTCATCACAGTGCAAAAGTTAACAGACTTAAAGAACCTTGCAAATAAAAGCCTTAAAGCTCAGTAATATAAAGATTATATGTGACTTAAGCTAATATATACGTTCCTCTGTGTGTGTGTGTGTGTGTGTGTGTTAACTTTCAGATATATGTTGTTCTCCAAAAAGTCCTACTTAAGTTGATTTATAGATAGACACTAATAATATTAACCCAAATGCTTTTTAGTTTAGATAGCTTAACAGTGGGCTAATTTAAATCAGCTGGTAAAAGTAGAAATGTCTTCAAAGTCAGTGACATGTTCCCTTTCAGGTGCTTAGCCAATCAAAATGGTACCAACATCAGTTTTATAAATACAAAGCCTATTATTGTCTGTATGCAAGAATTTAAAGGCTTGTCATTGGTATTCAAGAAATAAACATAAAAATGAGACTCGAAGTCTTCTAATACAGGGACATAGTCTTATGAATTAAAAATAAAAACAGACAGCTTCTAGACTCCAGCATGCCTGTTAGTGCCACTCTCACAAAAGTACCAAGACCTCGCTTTCACTCCCTCTGGAGTCTAATTTGGGTCTAGACAAATAAATTCATTTCTTTTACAGTCTGGGGCTTGCTTAGGGAATTCCAGGCTTGCATGTAACAGATCCTGGAAGAGAAAGCATATCCCACCCCATTTTCTGAGTGGCCCACTCAACCTAGATACTCCATCCACGTACAATCTATAGTACACCAAAGAGTATGGTTTATAAAACAACAAAACCTACACAAGAAAAAATAAAACAGATACTTATAGTGACCAAATAACCTCATGTGTAAACCAAAATAAAATATTAATCTATAGATACTGCCTTTTGATAGTCAAGACATCCTTCAATACCATATAAAAATCCCAGTGCTGATTGTCAGAGTCCTAACACCTCTTTAAAAATTTAAATATTATTAAAATGATTAAAGCTTATCAAAATGTGGGAACTGAGGTTTATAAGACACAGGTGCTTGCTGCTGCCTTAAAGCTTCAAAAATGTTATAGCTAGCAAGGAGACATCATCAAAGGATTGTAAAAATAATGGGCACAGTAGAGAGCTCAAACAACAAAAATGTCCTAAAGGTAATAAACAGTATCACTGGGCGAATCATGTCACTACAAATTTGATAATGAGGGGAACCTATTACAAAAAAAACAGAAAGAAAGGTGCAAATCCCCAGGCCACAGTAAAAACAAGGAGTCAGTCATAAAATGTTAATGCTCTGGCATGAGAGCTAATCCAGAGTCACCACAATTGGAGCTCATTGTTACAAACCCTAGTTAACTGATAAATTTACTTTTGGCTTCCCATTTAAGTTGGTATGTTCGCTTAGTATGCTTCAAACATACTTTGTGCATTGTAAATTTTTAAGTTATAATTACAGGATTAACTTGGTCCTCCCTCTGCTTTCTGCTGGTGATAAGAATACTGACTCAAGGTTACTTGAAAGTCTGTGGGCAGCCAAATTTAAAAATGTAACAATCTGAGGGAGGAAAGCAGACAGAGAAAAACACTTTAAAATCCAGGTGGCCATTGCCAAGGTTGTTATGAAAAGTTTATAGTAAGTAGGACAGAGAAAAATATATGAAGAAGGCTGTAAGTATAAGAGATATACTTTTGATATGAGAGGATTTTATATGATCATAGTTTTCCCATGCCAGGAAGATAAAAGATGACAGAACTGGAAAGCTCAAGCATACCACGAAAAAGCTTGTGGAGGACACAGTTTAATAGAAAGAAATATATATGTTTATATATATGTTTGCTTGTTGGTTTGGTGAAGCCCAGGCTGTTCCTTCTGAAAGCTCCTTGATGCTCAAAGATTAGAGTGCTATAACCCTGGATCTATCAGTTACTGCTTCCCAGGTCCCAGCTCTCCTCTCTGGGTGACAAAGGCTATAAGTCTCACTTCTAAAATTAATACAAACCATGAATTTTTTTGCATGACTAGCAGAGACATCTAAACGGATTGATGACAAAAAATAAGACAAAGCTGCCTCCTGGGGCAGTTCCAACCTAATTGTGACACTTGCTATTACTAGCTTCAAGATACAGTAAATATACCAAATAATGTTTCCCAAATGCATGAGTCTTCAAAGATACAAACAGTTTTTCAAGGTTTATGCTTAAACGATTATTACGTGTTTGTTATATATTTATGATACAACACTTAAAAATACTCAAACTCTGTATGGTCCAAACAATATCATGCAAAATACATCTATGGAATGATGCATTCTTCTTAGATGACAATCTATTGAAAGATGATAATTTTGGGTAAAAGATTCTTCATATCATTTAATGTAATAACATCATAATGATTGTTATAATAATGTGTTATGTTGTCCTTGATCTCAAGTTTGCTCTGTAAAACTTTAGAACTGTCATCTGTTAAGATTTCATAGGAATTCAACTTCTTTTTTTTTTTTTTGAGGCAGGGTCTTGCTATGAAGTTTAGGCTGGCCTTGAGCTCACTTTGCAGCCCAGGCTGGCCTTGAACTTGCAATAATCCTTGTGCCTCAGCCTCCTGAGTGCTAGGATTACAGGCATGCATCACTATGCCTTAATTTCTAAGATAATCATAAATGATAAAAAATAACAGGTCCTGGATTCAACCTCTCAATATTGTCATTAATTTGGCCTATGTTGTGGAGACTCTACAAGTGATTAAAATGCCCTTATTTATAATAAAAATGATACGATGCTCTTCCTATGCTCCCTACCCCTCTAAGAGAAGGCAATTTCCTTATGAACTTTCCTCCAACTCTGACAGGTTAAACATGTCACTGATATCCCTGACCACCCAATGAGGCAAGCCATCAGAAAACAGGCCAATGAGCTCCTTGGGACTCAATCTGTAAAACAAAAAGGGGGGAATATGGACCAATACATTGACCAAGACTATAATTTAATTTAATAAAATTTTAAATTTTCTAAATTATGATTCAGAAAGTTTCACGGCAGTACAAAAAGTCAACTCGCCACTCAAGGCTCACAGATGCTCTAAAGTACTAGAATTCTTTTCATTTCTACAAGCCTATTTCTTATCATGTAAGTCACTTACAACTCCAAATTTCAAAGGTGAAAAGGTTCCTTATCTTTCTGCATTTGCTGACATATGTACCTCAAGTAAATAGTATGGTTTATTGGGTTTATGTTCTCACCTCACTTGTCTTAGATATAGTTACACGAAAAGATCCAAAATCATCTCTTTTTTCTAATGATACCTCACAAACAGACAAAACTTAACTGCCACCTCCTGGCCCCTTAGGGAAGGACTGCGGCCACTCTGGCTATTAGAGTGATTGTCACCTGTTACTCCACAAATGGTATTTCTTGACAAAAGAATTTCCATTATATACAGCACCATTATGGTTTCTGTCTGAGTGTCCCCCCAAAGCCTCATGCAGTCATGGGACGGGCTTCTAGAGTTTATGATTGCTCCAGATGGTCCAGTGTTGGAATTACGGGTGGGAGTGCTATACTCGCCCTGGGGCGGGTAGTTTGCATACAATGTAAGGGAGGGAAAGAGGCTGCTTGTCATGACTCCTCCCTTTGCTCTTGCTGTTTTTGCTGTCTTCCGCCACCATGAACAGTTGCCCTCTGCCGTGTGCCACTCTGCCTTGGAGCCAGCCAAGTATGGACTGAAACCTCCACAAACAGTGAGCTAAATAAATCTTTGCTTCCTTAATTTTGGGCATCAGGAATTTTGTCTCAGCAATGACAGAAAAGTAACCAAGACATGCCCCAATATCACCAACAGTAGTTATTGTATTCCTTTCCAGCCCCAATGATTTGTAAATAATTTTTAATATCTCTCAGGTAAACATTACTCATATCATGGTTCTCAGACCAACATTGATAAAAGAAAGCATTTTACAGTAACTTGATGTCCTTAAAGCAACAGTTGGGGGGCTCAGCAAACATCAACAAGCTCTTTGGTCGCACAGCAAACTCAGTTGTGATGCTAGTTACTGTTCTGTGTGCATCACATCTATCCAGGTTAATCATTTGTAATCCTAAGGAAAAGTCCAGTAGCTTCTCTATGGTGCTTTTCATACAAATCTCTATGGAGATATTACTAATCTCCAGGCTGACTACAGGCCCAACATCATAAAGTACAAGTGAAAGCTTGCATAATCACCTTCATGATATTGCCTCCTGGCTAAATCCCCAAAATTGGTTATCTGTACTCAACCTTCACATTTGGATTCTTATTGCTACTAGAATTATCTTTTTTTGTTGTTTTTTGTTTTTTCTTACAGTCCTCAAGGCCCTTTCTATACTGTTCCAGCAGATGCTTCCTGCTAAGGCCATGATGCCCTTCCCTATATCAAACTGGATTCCCATCTACACTGTATTGCTTTTTCTCCCCATCCCTCATTTTGTAAGGGGAAATGTGGGAGACCTGGCCAGGACTGAATGATTAAACTGAGGGACAAAAGCACCCAGGCTGCGTGACAATCAAATGGTTAAGCAACAAAAAGTTTAGAATAGTGAAGCATGTTGTGTCTGGCCGTTGTCCTTCCCCTTTGCCCAAGAAAAACTGCTTAGCCTTGATTCAGCTCCTAGCCCAAACTGCTTTTTCTCCTGCTTTTTTCTCTGACACTTATATTCTAAATAAAAGACAGACAGTTCTCAGCTTGGTGGCTTTTTCTTCTCCAGAGAGTCTCCCTAATGGCTGGTTGCACTCAGGTCAGAAAACCCCTCTGAGCCTCCCGGTGACTGAACTAAGTCTCATCTCCAAGTAATCCTTTTCACCCTCTACGCCGCTTGCAGTCACTCATTGCAATAGTAGAGTCCTTGTCTAGTGTACATGAGGCCCTGGGTTCAATTCCCAGCATAAAAGTATCCCACTTCTATTCTTACAGTCAAATCCCAGTTCACTGTCACAATGCATTCTGATGTATAATGAGCACAACAGCAAACATCCCCCAAAGGGGCTTTCTCCTTGGTACTGTAATACTTCAGAAGCATCCATAGCTAAGCACCCACTGAGCGCCCTATCTCCACAATCTTATACTGTCTCCACAACCACCCCTGGAATAGGTAGGCACACCACTATCCCCCTATTCCTCAGACACACCCTCACTGGTATCTCATGCCAGTTCTCTGTGTGGTTGGCTTATCCCCAGACTTAATCATAAATGTACCCTCATCTTCTTTTCCTGGGAGTTCAAGTCAATGACAAGGCTCTGAAAGTACTAGAAAACAGCGGTGGGCTTTCTCTCGGCTTCAATACTTACCCAGTTTATGAAGAGGGCCTGTGTGTATTTCACAACCTCAAGAGTCACCAGCAGACTGATTGGAATAAGATTGTTGTACAAGATGATGAACGTCAACAGGTTGTACCCAAAATTATCCGAGCTTGTGTCTGTGAAAGAAAACCAGGACATCCATACAGCTTTAGTTATATTTTCTTTCCACTTTATTTGGGGATTTTTCTAAAAAGATGTTCACAACAAAAGCCTATTGGTTAATTCAGAGATTCAAGTTTTAAAAGTTCTTGAACACCTACTATGCTTCAGGAGTTGTGACTACAAATACTATCCAGACACAGCCTCTGCCAAGGGAGAGCTGGGCTTTGTTAGGAGGATGCAGGGGGTGCAGCAAGCAGAGACAGCACGTCCCTTAATGTGATCGTGTAGCAGGACAGGTATTAGAGGGCCACGGCAGGAAGCAAGACTGAGGCTTGTTCAAGAGAAGGCAAAAAGCTAAGGCTGGAGATCAGGACTCTGTAGCAGCTCCCAACCACAGTTATTGAGCTTTCTATAAGGAAAGTAAGTCAAGTCACAGTAATTGGATTCAGACTGGGAGTTGTGGATGGTAATGTGATAGGAAAACAAGGTGCTGGGAAAGAATGAGGTGAGTGGGCACAGGCAGCCAGCAGACTCACCTCTCCATCATCCCTTCCTTCTCTGCTCACTACCAAGCCTTCTGCTTTTTCAGTTGATGGCTTCCCTTCCTGACACATTACTTTGGTATCTTGTTCTTCTACAGAATGAATGAGTCACTACACAGAATCTCTAAATCAAAAAAGTTACAGATGCTGGGAAGGTTTAGCAAATGTCCATCCACAAACTGAAATTATGGCATATATTAAAAAATTTAAATTTTCTGATTTTGAACACTACCTAAAAATGCTTCATATCACAGTATTAAAAAGTAGAGTACAATCGAATAAACCCAAACCCAAGTAGAAGGTTCTGGTTCAAAATCAGATAAGAGAAGTCAATATAAAAAAAAAAAAAAGAGTCCCACTCTTATGGTAAAAATTGGGCCAAATAACAATAATCAAGAGGAGATGAGCAAAGACAGACTGACAGAGACAAAACACGAAATTCCAGGAGTGACAGTGCAAATGAAGTCTGATGACTTTGACCAGAGCTACTCAGATTCTACTCAGAACAAGACAGAAAACCTTAGAGATGGACAAAGACAACTGTTCCACTGTATCTCACACAGCTAGTACTGGAGTTCAACACTAACTTAGCAATTCAAATGTCGTTCTGTTTCCACAAAGCTTGTATACCAAGAAAATATCAATACAGTATATTTTTCAGGCTGTGACACTGTGGAGCTAATTACATATATACACTGGTATGAGTTTTCACATTTGAAACTAGGTAACATAGTACATGTTCAAACGTTAAGAACCAAAACAAGGGATTCTGATCCAAGTACAACTGAAGTCTTAGTCACGTTTCTCACCTCTATAAAGTGACAGTGTCAGTTCCCCTAGGTGCAAATCAAAGTGTATAAATTATTCCTATCTGAAATAATTAGAAACATTCAAAAGGTATTCTAATCAGTTTACCCAAAACATAGTGAAAGATGTAAACAACAATAACCCCAGGGAAATTCTCTCCAAGTTTTTAAGATTTAAACTTATCATTTAATATTTTGTCATTCAATCTCATTTTCTAGACTTGCCATGTAAAGAGATTGGCAGATTTTTTTATCCTATCCTTCCAAAGAAACAACAGCAATAAAACTGCGAGACTTGTTTAAAAGGCTTTTAAAGTCTCGGGAAATGTATCATAAAGTATATAAAAGACAAATAAATATATTGGAGAAAATCTACTGAGTCTTGTATGAACGATAGAAACCTTGGCGTTGAAGCCAGAGGCTGTTCCTCTTTCCCACCCTCAAGCTGAATGATCTCCATCACTTAAGTTCCTTGCTGCACGCAGAAAGAGTAGATAGGGAGGACTAAGAGCACTCTTTCCCCTGCCTCTAGCTCCGTGCTGCAGAAACTCAATTCCAGGGTAGTGCAGGCTGCTACCCTGCAGTGGGACAGGCACAAGGACAGGAACATCTTCAGGAGTATAAGAAGAAAGTTCAGGCTCAACTCTCAGCAGTTAATAATCAACAAAGGCAAATATCTCCATAATACTAGGACAGGCAAACAAAAAAGGAAACCAGCTATAAATTTAACGGGGATATCCATGGAAAGATACAACCAACAAAGCCTTGGTAAGAGCACATTCATCCCTGATAGTGCAGAAGGTCTTGTCCATGCATGAGGTTGCACCTTCTCAGGAAGAACCATATAGGATACTTTCAGCCATAAGTGCCTGCTAAATTTGGGAGGCACTTTAATCTGCCCAAAATTCAAAGGCATTCCTCAAGCCACCCAGAGACCAAACAATAAAATGTAGATCCTTTAGTGGCTTGTGGGGTTTATGCACAACCTCCAACAAACCACAGGCTAACTACCAAGATCTACTGACTCTGAATAATCCAGATTTTAAAACAAAGCAAGGAATTGCTACTAATGGGGAAGGGGTTCCTTTACAAAGTGATGAAAATGTTCTAAAGTTAAGTGGAGGTAAAAGTTGCAAAAACCTGTAAATGTACTACAAACTACTGTGTATATTAAACTGTACATTTAAAAATGAAGATGTAAAAGGAAATAAAACTAATCAGTAATATCACTGACTATGCATGACAGAAGCAAGCAGACTTTATAGAATTAGCAGACATGTCACTAACCAAATGAATAAACAAACAACAAAAAAAGCAGCAGCAAGTCCTACAATAAAAAGAAAATGAGACTCCAGGGTTACTATATTATCTAAAATGTCCAGTTTTCAACCAAAAAAAGTTACGAGACTTGCAAAAAAAGAACAGGAGCTGTTTTTGAGGGGTATGAAAATAATGGGACAAGCAAAGATTAAAGTTTCCTTCAGGAGACTGAACAATTTTAAAAAGGATGGTGACAAATACAGCTCAAATTAAGAATCAATAAGGAAGAAACAATAATCAATAATTTAAAAACAGTAAGGAAATAAAAGGTTTTTTGAGATTAAAAATCAACCAAATGGAGATTCTGGATTTGAAAAGTGCAATAACTAAAATAAAAAAAGTCACTAGTGCACTTGAGTTGGCAGAGAGAAAATAAGGAAGCTTCAAGAGTGGTCAGCTGAGGTCATCCAACCTGATGAACAGAAAAGAAAAGGAACAAAGAAAAAAGGAATAAAGAAAAATAAACAGAGCCCAGAGATCTGTAGGACACACCAAGTATACAAACACACACACAATGGCAGTACCAAGAAAAGGATCAAGAATGTGACAGAAACAATGCTCAGATAATACCTGAAAGGGTCCTAAATTGTATGAAAAAATAATTTACTTTACACATATATGAAATTCCACAAAAGTCCAAACAAAATAAACACAAAACTGTCAAAAACCAAAGACAAAATCTTGAAAGCAGCAATGCAAACATGACTCACATACAAAAAACAAAACAAGCAAAATGTAGTAAGATTCACAGCAGACTTCTCACCACACAATGGAAGCCAGAAAGCAGTGGGAGATCATATTCCAAGTAATGGGAAAAATGAAGGTTAATCAGAATTCTATAAGAATTCTGTATCCAGGAAAACTATCATTCAAAAACAGAAGAGAAATTAAGATATCCCAACATAAAAAAAGAAGTAATTTGTTGCTAGTCCATCAGCCTTCCAAGAAATATTAAAAAGTTATTCAAGAAGACAGAAATAGCACATGACTGTAATTGAAATCTGTATGAAAAAATAAAGACCACCAGTAGACTATATAAGTACTTATAAAATACAGTATAATTACAAATTTTTAATCTTTCTAGACTTAAAAAAAAAATGACAAAATTTCATGATAAAATTGTTGGGAGTTACACATAGGAAAGAATAAAGATACATGAGGCAAAGAAATGATACCGGCTGGTAACTCATCCATAGGAAGAAGTGAAGAGTAGTAGAAATGGTAAATAAGTAGCTTAATATAATACAACTCCATAAACATATTTTTATTTTAGCTTCTTTAAGAGACAACAATCATATAAAGCAATATACTTAAAATAGTATTGTTGGGTAGATGACATAGATTTAATATTATGAAAATAATAACATAAGCAAGGGAAAAAGTGGAGGTACACTGGAGTGATGTATCTGTATTTTACCAGAATAATTATTCATCCAAAGTGGATTCTACCATTGTAACCCCTAGAACAGCCTCAAAAAATCCTCTAAAAATGGCTGCAAAATAATAATTTGTGCATAAAACAATTCTCAAATATGCTTGTGTTCACTATATCATGTGATTCTTAATCTTTCACTCCCCTTTGAAAAGCAAGCACTGTGTACAGCACCCAAAGGGAACAACAGGATGACATGGCTAGCCCATGCAAACTGTGCATGGAGGTGCTCTCCATGGGTGGTGTCTCTGTCCTGCTTCAACAAGCACCACCCCCACACTCACCCATCTTCTTGATGTACCAGTTCTTTCCACCGTGAGACCCATTCCAATACAGGGCCCCCACAGAGCTCACCAGGGCCATGACCAGCAGGATGCCAAACAACACCAGGATCTGCACATTGGTTACTTTCTCAACATTCGACCTCTTGAGAGGTGCTTTGGTCGAATTCTGTAAAAACGGCAATTAAAATCAATAAAGGTCATATATCAGATTTTGGAGTCAGGGATAGGAAGAAAATTAGGTATGACATACAAACCAACCAGAGGAGAGTAAAAAACTATTTCTTTTCTAAATAAACCATGAAATTAAAAAGTATATCACATCTTTGAACCAACAGATAGTTTTAAGTAAAGAAGAAAAGCAGTCTACCAGTTTAGAAAACACACTCCAGCTCTGCCTGATGCTTATATAGGTCTCATGTTTACATCTAAGCACTCATTTAGCCACTTTATCTTAGAATACAACAGGCTCTAAGTAATCTAAATCAGTTTAAAAGAAATCAGTGTACTGCTGATTCAAGATAAACTTAGAGACTCTCAACTTTAAACATCGAAAGAGAACCTCTGAAGTAATAACACAGTTCTATAATAAATATGCAAATAGATATTTTAGAAGTATACATTTTATTTTCAGTAGCTGCAAATTTAAGCAAAACAGACACACATGCACACCAGTGATGCAAAATAGAACACTGATAGGTCTCAAAATAAATGGATGGGCCCTGTGGACAAGAAATGAGCAGAAAAAGGCGGGCAGGGACTTGCGGACAAGAGAAACCTAATCACGAGCAGAATATAGACAACAAGGTAAAGCAAAAGGGGAGAGTCTCACTCCTGCTGGATACAGATACAACCAAAGGTCAATGTTGGAGGAAAATACAGAAAGATTCACAACAGCTGGGCTCACGGACCACTTTGTTTAAAGCTGGAAATGTGAATCTAGATCTTCTCTGCAGTAGAAAAGTCAACACAATAGTTTGAGCAAGATAGTTATGTACCTAGCCTGGCACGGTGGTATAAGCCTATAGAATCCCAGGACTCTGGGAGACTGAGGCAGGAAGATTACAAAGTCAAGCCCAGCCTGAGAAATTTAGCAACTCAGCAAAATGCTATCCCAAAATAAATTAAAAACAACAGGGCTGAGGATGTAGCTTGGTATGAAGGCCCCAGATTCAATACTTAGTACCACACAGACACACACACACACACACACACACACACACACACACACACACACACTATGTACCTGAAGTCATTTTATTAAAAATTTGTGGAAGTATTTGTGACAAAATAATGAAATAATGGACCCTCAATGTCACCCACATGCTAATCTCTGGCCCCTATGATTATGTTATATAGCAAAAGAGACTTTATATTTGTGATTAAGGATTTGATTATCCTGGATTATCTGACTGGGCCCAACCTAATCACAAGGGCATTCCAAATGTAGGAGCCTTCCTGATTGTGGTTAGAGGGAGAGGTAACTACTAAGAAATGGACAGAGAGATACTATATGGCTGGCTGTGAAAATGGAGGAAAGGAACCACAAGCCAAGGAGTGCAGGCTCTTCCAGAGCCCAGAAAAGGTAACAGACAGAAACCCTTCTAGGGCCTGCAGAGAAGAATAGCCCATATCTTGAGATTTAGTCCAGGGAGACCTACATCCAACTTCTAATCTACAGAACCACAGCCTAACTTTATGCACTTTTAAGCTCCTAACTTTGTGGAAATCTGCTAAACAGCAATAGGAAACAAATACAGTAATACAGCAGGTGGTCAAGGAAGACAAGGAGAAGCAACCTAAGTGAAAATTAATTATGACAACCCATTCCTGGAGGTAAGGCAATTCCTGAATTAAACCAGAAGCCAAGAATTGGCTAAGCAGAGCTTTAAGCCTCTTTTTATGAACCTTGGGCCCTGGCTTTTCAGAGACTTTACTGATTTGCAAGATCAAGTCACATGTAAGCTTGAAGGCACTAACTATCCCCAGAAATGGTACCTTGCATCAAACATAAATCAACATTCTCCTTCTCTATGCCTGATCTGTATGTTCATTAAAGAGCTAGGATGGAAATATCTCCAAAACTAGTAATACAAATAAAGTCACAATGAGACATATAAGTGAGCTAAAAGGAGAGGAACCTCATTCCTAAGCTTCAGAGAGAATTTCATGTCACAGTGTTACTAAAATCCATGTGAATTCCATCACCAAGCCTGGAAGTACAGTACTATTATCGCCATGCACTTGTTTTAGGGTTGGGGAAGATGGTGAATTGCTACAGTGGAATTTCTGAAAAGCTAAGTCCTTTAGGTATCTAAGAAACACACCAGAATTGTCCTCTATTTACATATTTTTTCCTCCTTTGCATTCTCAAAATTATTTCCACTTTACAGGTTTTTAAAAAAATCCTCCCAAATCTAAATGGAAGTCCATTAGTAAAGGCCATCTCATCATCAATCAAATACCACGTAAAGGTCGATTGGGACAATACATCTGGTCACACAGCAAGAGTCAGACCAGTTCCAAGAGTGTTTATCCTAACTTTTAAAAAGTAAACATGATCTTATCATTTTAAATAAACATTCACTGAATGCACAGGCAGGAAAAAGTTATAATAAACCTTACTTCTCTGACCCCATTAGTTACTGACTTCTGATCTTTCCCAGTGTTTGGACGCCAGCCAGTTAGCAGGGTTAAAAAAAATTATTTTTCTCCACGACAACAGAAATAACCCCAAAACTTCAGGCTTCAGGGCACACACTTTGTACAAAGCCAAGCTCTGCCCACTAACGCCTATCTTCTGAACATTTCTACCTGTAGTGCTGAGCTCTCAATGATAAGTTCCTACTGTAACTGTAAGTTCTTCTATAACATTCTTAAAGAACGTTACTCCTTGACATAAACAGGAACAAGCCAAAATGCCAGACTTTGAAAAAGCTGAAACCAGACCTAAACTTCACACATTTCATGCCCTCCTAAGACAGTAGGGAGCAGAATGTTAGTTGGAACAATCACTTTTGAGGTTGCCTGATGAGCCCTATCTTTAAGATTGGGTTATGTCTTAGTTACTTCTCTCATTGTTGAGACAAAATATTGGACACCCAAAGTTAAGGCAGGAAAAGTTCACTTAGCTCACAGTTTGTGGAGGTTTCAGTTGCTAATCAGCTGGCTCCAAGGTAGGGTGGCATGCCAGAGGGCCAACAGTTCAAGGCCGCAGAAGACAGCAAAAGCAACAAGAGCAAGAAGGAGGAACAAGCCCCTTTCTCTTCTTTACAGTGTATGCAGGCTAGCTGCCCTAGGGCGGCTGTAGCACTCCACCATCTCCCTGCCCTCCTCTTGCACAGGATGGGGACGTTTACAAAGTGAGGACTTGGGACCCCTGCTGAGTCCCTCAGTTAAACTTCTAAACTTCTCAAGTTGACACAATCTATCAGCCATTACAGGTTACTTTAGCAATATGCCTCAGTTCTCTGATCTATAAAATGAGAACCATAACTGAGGAATAAATGAGTTAATATACATGAATCACTTAGAGCAACACACGATTTGTTGTAATTAATGCTTGCCATATTTAACATGATAATCTCTCTCTTTCCCATTAAATCAATCAACAGAAATAACAGATTTGAAGATTCCTACACATAACTACACAAGCATGAACTGAGGGACTTAGCGTTTGGAGTTTAACATAAAAAAGCTTTTAAAAAACCTCCTAAAGCAATCTCTTTATGGTCAAGGGGTGCAAGTGCAGGCAAAATATCCCTGTTCACAAACAGAAAGGCTTCCAGCTGTGTGTACTGCTTCACGTTCCTTGCGAAAGCTCGTTGTTTTTACTTGCTTTTTCAGCCCCACAAGCACAGCAGGTGTAGCACAGCTGTTGCTGGGGCTTTCCATCACCCTGTCCTCCAGCGCTCAAGAGGTCTGGCCCGGGGAGGGCTGCGGAAGGTGCCTCTCACACGCAGGGGATGCTCTCTCAGTGCACACGCTGCCCATCAAAGAGGCGATGGGAAGGTTTTAAGCTCCAAGGCACTCTCCTGAGCTACAAAGCTACCAAGGCATGGTCTACAAAACAATGCTGGAGCCTGAGCAATCACCTAATGTACAAGGCAACTTGGAGAGGGCTTGCTCTTACAACATGCCCTATCTGAAAACTAGTTTAGTGACCCTGCCCAAATCTGAGCTAACTACACGTGACCTCTTTGTTATTGCATCATAAAAAGCAGAAGCAATGGTGCATGGTTAGCAGAGCTCCGAGTGCTGGGCAGTGGTTACTGGCACTGGGCTGCGGAAGGTCAAGGCTCCTTCGTAGGTGGCAGAGCCCTAACCCGCAGTCTTCTCACATGGACCGCTCAGCAGTAAGTGTGAACAGCGGAGGACTGAGCAGGAGGGTAGGTCAGGCACGTCTCGGACCTGCTGGACAATCTCCTCCACCTAACAGCTGCCTCGACATTCACTAGCTCTTCATTTTGTGCCTGCTATAGAGCCCTCCTCCCACTCACCCAATGCACAACCCCACAAACATCCCACTGCGCCTGCGGCCCTACCCTCCGCCACGCAGAGGCTCTACGTTCCGCTCCCTCACCAGCTCTCTTGCTGCTGCGGACCTGACCCAGCCTTCCCCAGAGCACCCCAAGCACAGACTTCCCAGGCTCCCATCTCTTGGCATCCGGGGGTAACATTACTGGATGTGTAGCCAAGACGCTGTAGTACTGCCCAGCCTTTACTCCCCCGGGCTGTGTTTTCAAAGTCGCTCATGACATTCTGCCTTTTGGCTACACTACCTTCTGGCCTCCCCTTGGCAGATGTACCGGCCTTTCAGTCGCTCCCTCTCCCTCCGTAGGGACTTGAGCCACAAGTTCACAGAACTCCTCTCTGTCCCAGCCTTGCAACCATCACACCTTCCAGATCACAGCATCAGCCCATCTCCGGGCGCCTTAGCCTCTCGTCTGCTTGCTGTTCATCACCACGGGTGTCTGCAGCTCTGCCCTCAGCTCCCTGCCCGCAGGGCTCAACCCCAAGTCTTCGCACGCTACAAACCCTTGACTTCAGAAACTCAAAGATGAGTATCGTACACTTAGCAGCCTGCCTTTCAGTGGCACCCACATGGTCTTCAACTTCAGCACATTTCTCAACTCTTCCAAGTCTAACTTACTTCAAGTAACTAGTGTGGCCTGGGGTCTGCCGTTTCATGTGTTCTAATGTTTAACTCCCTCATCCTACTATCACTGGCCCTCAAGCAGGCAGTCAACGGAAGTTTCCCTCCTCCAACTCAAGCTTTAAAATGTGCTTCTGCAGAGGGACCATTCAGCGTCCCATCAACTGGCACTGTAGCACTCTGTAATGACATATTTTACAACAAACGTATCTCTGCTTTGTAATTCCGTATTACTCCTTGGTCTACCTGGCTCTCAGAGAGTAGGACTGGGCCTGTCATGACTGTATCTATATGGCCTACTCCAGGAATTAATACACGGCGGACCTTAATTATTTCTTAACTAAGAAATAGAGCCAACAAGTCACAGAAGAAAAGTCAGTTCTTATTAACAGCTATCACTGTAAAATAAGAAGCCAAGTGATAACAAAAGAATGTAAGAAACGACACAAAGGGACACTGGTTTTATATGAAATTTCAAAAAGCTGCCTGTCTAATTATGTTACAACATAAATGTAGGATATAAATTCACAAACAAAAAAACTAAAAGAAAAGAGAGCAAAGTCAGGGTAAGTTAGCACTGTTTTCCTTGGTATATGAAAAACAAACATTAATTCAAAAATAACTGATTATAGAATTCAAGAATAACCTATTATAGTTAAGAATTTACCATAAAATCATGACTAATGGGCTGAAAAAAGAGTTGATAGAGAAATAAAATTAGAACTACTCCTCTTCTTTAAGTCCAGAAGACAAAATAAGTTAGAATCAATTGTCCCTCTTATTTCTGGAAAACAAAATCCATTTGTTTCCGGCAAGAGGCAACAAATATCTAATAAGATAACAAAATTCCAGAAGGAACTTCCCAAGAAACTAAAACAAAGGCATTTTCTTTCCAAATTTAGGTTCATAGACAAACTTGATCTTCCTAAGTGCATTATCTGAATTTTCCACCCTCTACTCAATAAAAACAGAAAGAGGAAAACAGCAGCAAAATCCAAAGTCAGCACTGGTTTTCAGCATAGAAACATTTTTACCTGCATGAGTTTGGTGTCGTGTCCAGTATAAACAACTACGCCAAAGACCCACTGAGTATTTCTAAGCTGTGTACCTCTCAATAAGATCTGGTCAGGTCCAAGGGGAACGGGGCTAAAAATAAGAAACAATATTTTTATTTAATGACAGTCTCACAAATAAGCATGAGCTCTCTCCCCTTAAACACAAACCCACAATAAATCAAATACTTCCTTCAGTCAAACTTGAGCAGTAAAGGTTAGACTTGGCTTATTCTACCCAAAAACAACCCACCAAAAGTGTCTATTTAACTACTCAATACCTTGATAAAAAAAAAAAAAGTTTTTTTCTAAAAAATGTTAGAAGGAATTGTAGCTCTTACAGTCCTATTATAAAATTCATATCCACAAAGGAAATTGCTAAAATAATAAACTGAAGCTTATTCATTTAAGAAACCCAATATATTTTATAGGTTAGATAAGAAAAAAAAAAACAGAAGTATACACCTATCATATCAATTTGCCAAAGATGACTTAATTTAGATCATTTAGAAAGTTAAAGTAGAGAACATATAAAATGGCTATGCATACTACATGACAGTTGAGAACCAGCTGCTCTTGGTTATCCTAACTGTTTTGGGTAGATTCTTCTGAGGAGGTCCTCCCAAGCCATGGGCCTATTCAAAATATAAAGGACCCAGACAGGTTGTGGAAGGCATAGAGAAGAGGCACGCAGATAAAAGACAGGCAGCAAATAGAGACTGCACCCCAACATCATGACAAAAGATGACTCAGACGATAAAACAAACGCCAAGAGCCAAGGAAACAGAATACAGACAACACGAACATACCACACAAAGAGTTGCGTTCGCTTTACTCTACTTTGCCAAAACAAACAGGGCTGGTGGTGTGGCTCAGTGACAGAGCACTTGCCTAGCGTGCGTGAGGCCCTGGGTCCTATTCTCAGCACCCAAAAATAAATACCATAAAAGGAAACCAAATGCTATTCAGAAGAAATCTTGGAAACAGGACACAGCCTTTTACATGAGGCTGTGTCCACCTCAGACATCTCTCTCCGGCTTTTCTGCACCACAGGCTGCACCCTAAATCACGTGTCCTGCTTGGGAAGGACAAGTGAACCCCATCTGAGGCCCAAGGCTCTTTGCTTGTGTGTTTGTTTGTTTGGTTTGGTTTGGTTTTTGTAGCGGGAATCGAACTCACAACCTCGCACTTGCCAGGCAGTCTTTCCTGTTAAAAGTCACTTCTTTCATTAAGCTTAAGTAAAGTTTTAAATAGACTGAAATGGTGTTTCAAGAAAAACTCCGTAGTCCAGAACTAAGTAAACATGAAGAAATCAGGCTGTTTTCAAATATTGGGAAAATAGAACGCAAACGTATTTTCCAAGGCTCCAGTAATTTGTACTTGCGCTAAAAAAGTAGAAGAAGGAAGAGAAGGAAGGGTGATACCTTTTCCCATCCAAGTTCAAGGTCCCAGTGAAGTCGTAGAGGTGGCGATTGGGCCCTTCGCACTCTATGGTTCCAGATAATTTCATCAGCACCTCCCTGGTCTGCATGTCAGCAGTGTGGCTCAAGCCCTAAAATGTCAAACCACAAGAGAAACTCAGACACTCTCTTCTGTGTCTTAGGGACACCACTCAGCAGGTTGTCCTAAGGACATAATGAGCCATCTACAACACAATAATCAGACAAATTAAGTGTCAGCCCCTCAAGATGGCCTCTACCACACCTCTTGCTCCAATTGTCTGATAAGAAAGTGGCAGAAGATTTCAGTGGAGCAGAAAGTGGAGATTCCACCACAATGCTGGCAACATCCTGAGTGACAGCATGCCCAAACCCCTTGCAGAAACACACACTGTTGGCTGTCCCCTAACACTGTCCTCTATGAGATGAAGTATCTCACTATTGTTCACTCTCTAGCACCTATAAACTTTTTAAAAATCTTTAAATGCTTTATTCTAAACGTTTCCAAACAGCCATAAAAGCAGAATAGCAAAACTAACTTCACTGACTCTTATTTAAACAGGAAAAAAAAGCCTAAGTCAAACATTTTCAGAATCAAAAAAAAGGTGTGGATAGAATCATTGAATTTGACTTTAAGCCACACAAAAAATTGTAAGTGTCAAAATGCTTAACACTTTTATACTTTAAAAACTATTTTTTATGCTAGAATAAAATATACGGTCAGGATGGTTTTATTTGAGGTATGGAAAATTTGTGTCTAATATACTGGTACGACTCTCTAGAACAGAATCTCACTTTCAGAGGTGTTACACAATCAGGCCTCCATCTGTGCTCTAGAGCTGGTGTCCTGCCCAGTACCCAGCCCAGCATCACTGTGGAGCTCCCTCTCTCCAGCACCACAGACTGAGAGGCAGTAAGACACACACAAAGGGGGCTGGAGATTTAGCTCAGTGGCACAGCGCCTGCCTGGCAAGCGCAAGGTCATGAGTTTGATTCCCGGTACCAGAAAAAAACCAAAAAAAACCCAAACAAACAAACAAACAAGACACACACAAAGGCATGGTACCCTTGGGCCCTTCAGTTCAAAAAGCCCACTTTTTCCAGGTGTCTTGTCCCTCTGGACCTGTTCCCTCATAACCACAGACACATCCTTCCACGGGTTCCAGGAGGGTTAAAGCCTAGACTTTTATGAATGAACAATGTTTTCTCTACAAAAGATACTGACTAATACACAAAGGGACCATAGGTGCAACTTAGGCACGGATAACAGCGTGAGTCGTAATACAGGTGACTTTACCTGGCGGATCTTAAGGTTTGTCTCCCCATCTAGATTAGCTGTTTCAACATAACACATTGCCTGAGGTTCACTAAGGAGAGAGAAAAAAGGGACAGGGGTTTAGAAGTCAGTAAAGTCCTCCTTTTCACATCCACAGCTCTGCACTTTCTGCTATGGAAATATTCCTACCAATGGGTTCTTCAAAAGACAACGCGTAACGAACAGCCCCTTCTGTAGTAGAGAATGACAGGAAGAAAGAGGCACAGTTATCTTCAGGGCACAACAGTGATAAAAAGCTGCTTGCACCAGTGATCCATCCATTAGCTCCCCAAAATAATGACCACTTGAGGGGCTGGGGATTTAGCTCAGCGGCAAAAGCGCCTGCCTGGCAAGCGCAAGGTCGTGAGTTCGGTTCCCGGTACCGGAGAAAAACCAAAAAAAAAAAAAAAAAAAAAAAATGACCACTTGGCCGCATGCAGACAGAAATACTCGGGGAGAGCTGTCTGAGACGCCTGATGTTCCACATGAGACCCAACTGCTGGGTTGAGGCTGGGTCCACATCTTGACCAAAAAAAGCTGCCCAAGCCCAAACTAGAACAAATACATCTTTCCTTACCTTTCCTTTGTGACGCAGGGATTTGAACGCAGGGCCTCGCTCTACCACTGAAGTACATTCCCAACCCTTTTTATTTTTTATTTTGAGACAGGGTCTCACTAACTGGACCAGGCTGGCCTCAAACCTGTGATCCTCCTGCCTCAGCCTGCTGAGTGGCTGAAGATTAAAAATGTGTGCCACCACACCCAGCCAAACACACCCTCAGAAGAAAATTACAGGCACAGAACTGAAGGATCGAGGCAGAAGCCTGGCGAGATTCTGCTTCCCTGCATTTAGTACAATGCCAAAAGGAAATGTCAATCAAAATACCTACATTTAAGGACAGAAAGACAATAAGGACTCAGAAGAGAAATAAGCATATCAGGCACTGCACTCACACGTTGGTCTTTTAGTTTAGGGCTGTCCGCATAGCTGGTGGTTAAGAGAACAGGCTCTGCCACCCACTGGCTAACGTAAGTGCTTTGCACTGCCTTTGGGGGCTACACGGCCCTGGCCAGCTGTTGAACTTCTGTGTCTCAGTTTCCTCCTGCACTGAGGAAGGGTAGCAAAGGTTGCTTGGAGACTAACAGGCAAAGGTTGCTTGGAGACTAACAGGCAAAGGTTGCTTGGAGACTAACAGGCAAAGGTTGCTTGGAGACTAAGGGGATGACGTATCCGGCAGGCTGCTCAACACAAAGTAGGCACTCAGATGCAAGGCGCAGCCTGAAATCATGACATCACTTCAAGCAAGCACTCCCACAGTGAAGCCATGTTTTCTGAGGGTCACAGACAAGACTCACAAGCCAAAGCATCAAGTGATTAATATTTCTAAAAATTTCTACGCTACCAACCAACATGGCCATATCCGAGCCTTGACCCGAGTTTACAATGCTTTTCCCTTCCATCGGCCTTGGCTTCTATTTTTAAAATTTTTATCTGTAGTAGAAAATCAATGTTAAGGATTTAAACCTAATAAAGGATCAAACCAATATGAGAAATGCTGCCTCCAAGCAAATAAAATGCACAACCATCTGTGGTTCTCAGCAGCATATAAATATGGGTTGTTGTAGTCTTAACACCACGTAGTTTAATCTTGGACGCAAGGACTGAAGTTACTCTCACCCTGATTTTGGTTTTCCCTCTGTGCTATATACTTTCTAAGCATCAACCCAAGAAGGGCAAAAGCTACGCTGTTCCATCGTGCACACCACCGAGTGATGATACCCGCCTTGCACAAAAGTAGAAAATAAGGCAATGGCCGTTGGGCAAAAAAGGGTAAACTGTGAAAAAATGGATAGCAAACATCATCTTCAAGTCTTGTCTACACTGAGAAAATATACATGGAGTTCAGAGGAACTGCAGCTCGAGGACAGCACTGGCTTACAGGACAGACCACTGACTGACCCCAGAGAAGTCGGGGGCCAAAGCCTCACGTATGCTGCAACCTGGACGCAACTGAGTTCCCTTGAAGCAGTGACTCTATTGGTGAAGAACAGCCCAGAGTGGTCATAAACCGGGGGAGGCAGTATTTGTGGAGTTCAGACAAAAAGAAAGCAAAGGGTCGAGGCAGGAGAAGGAAAGTGACACCAACAGAGTTGACCATCCCTTATCCAAACTCCTGGGGATTGCCAGATTTTTGGATGGGTTCGGATTTTTAAATATTTGTAGGCTGTATTGGATAAGCATTCCTAATACAAACTTCTGAAATCCAAAGAGCTCTAAAATCATTAGTTAAGGACACCCAGCTTGTAATAGGAAGATAGGATGGTCAGAGAAGGATGGTGACTCATAGGGCAGAACGGAAAGGTGGCTCAAGATATCTGCAATTGTCATTTAACATTTTAATGTTCTTAACATTCGATGCAAAAACTGTGCCCACGAGCACACCTGACCTGGAGGAGAACAGGACCATGTCTGCTGGAAGGTACTGGCCATTGAGGACTTTCACGATGTCTCCCACTGCCACCTGGAGAGCAGGAACCAGGACAGAGAGGGATGAAAGAAAGAGAAGCACAGTGGGATAACAGTGGTTAAATATGTGAAGAAGAAAACTGCCACACAACTAAGCCATGCCTTAACAGGAACAAAAGGGAAGTGTTTCCAACACACACAACCTGTAATACGGTCAAAGCCTCCACATCTGCAATTCAACCAACTGAGGACTGAGAGTATTGGGGGGGAAAAGTGTGTCTGTACTGAACAGGTGTTTTTCTCATCACTATTCCCCGAACAATACAGGATAACACGATTTACACAGCATTCACAGTGTTAAATCGTGGTATTATAGAGGTCTTGTAGAGGGTTTAGGGTCCACGGGAGGATGCAAAGACACTATGTAAATGCTACACTATTTTATACATGGATTTGAGCTCCCGTGGATTGTGGCATCTGCGAGACATCCCAAAACGATCCCTGAGGATGCTGAGGGATGAATCTATTACCTTTCTCCAGTGATATTTCATGAAAAAGAAATAAGGGAGAGGGAGAAAGGATAAGTCCAAATAACTACATGTATAGAGACTACATTGTCTTAGAATTATCTCTCTAGAATTGCTGGAATGTCCCCCCATCTGCTATGTGGTGGGGCCGAGCAGTCATCCAGGCAGCTCCAGAGACAGCCTAAGTTCCTGGGTTTCAGTCCCCATTATACCCCCTAACTGGCTGAATAACTAGCGCGTTAAGGAAATTGTGCACACCCCGTCTTTCTCATCCATATACTGAGGATAATGGCACATATTTCATGCGATTCCTGGAAGGATCGACTGAAGGATTCACACACAGAATTCTTCTGCTTTACAAATGGAGAAACTAAAGCTCCAAGCGGAATAACTTGACCAAGAGTATACAGCCTGTGTATTAAAACTGAGCCAGTCTGGCGAGAAGGCCTGAGCATGTATTCAAGGGTATTACTACATTTATTCACGAGCAAGGCATCTAAGAGGCCTCCTGGAAATGTGTCACATGACAGAGAAAAGATGTGTACAGCCTCAAGGCATTGTCAAAAAAGAAAGTTATGGCCAAAGTCAGAGATCACCTTGTGACACAGATTCCACTGCAGAGGAGACCACAAGCCAAGGAAACAGGGCAGTTTCCAAACAGCACCATGACTGTCTCCAAGTCCTTTCAATAATGTTGCTTTAGAGAAAAATAAGGACTTCACTCCAGTGAGCTTGGGCTCACATCCTCCTTCACAGATACAAAAAAGCACTGTGATCGGGCTGGGGATTTAGCTCAGCGGCACAGCGCCTGCCTGGCAAGCGTGAGGTTGTGAGTTCGATTCCTGGTACCGGGGGCGGGGGCGGGGGCGGGGGGCACTGTGATCTCCACAAGAGGCTTCACTTCACAGAGTCCCAGCATTCTCCATGCCTTTTTCAACACTGAGGATTAAACACGGGGTCCTTCTACCACTAAGCCACCTTCCCAGCCCTTTTTATTTTATTTTGAAATGAGATCTCGATACATTGCATGGGATCATCTCACACTGGTGATCCTCTTGCCTCAGCTTCCCAAGTAGCTGGGACATAAGCACGTGCTACCATGCTGACCCTGACCCCTCACTTCTAAAATGGGAAAACAATGCTATTGGCTCGTAAAATCCATCCTGTGACTAAGGATGTACATGCAGCACCTGGCATCTGCACACTATGTGTGTCTTCGCCACTCTCTGTCATCGGGACATAGTACCTGACGCCCACTGCTTGCAAGGGGGAGGCTCACTTTGGCTCATGGTTGAGCCTATGGTCAGCTGGCTCTAGAGCAGAGCTGCCGGCAGAAGGGTGGAGTGGAGGAAAGGCTGCTCACTTCCTGGCAGCCAGGAAGCAGACAGAGCAAAGGGAAGAGGCAGAAAAGGAGATGCACCTCCGGGTCACACCCCAGTGACCTGCCTCTCCCAGTCAGACTCCATCTCCTGGCAGCAAGTCAGCTCTATGCCCCCAGTGGGTGCAGGGGCCTCTTCTGGAGCATCTAGACACAAACCATGACGAGGTTTGTAGCTGCAGGTCCCCTCAGAGTGAGCAACTAAACAGACGCTATCAGTATGGATGTCAAGGACGTCAGAATTCTCTGGTGACCCGTGAAGAAAGACCTTTCCTAATGATAACTGCAAAGCACAAAATGAACGCTTACTGTTTTATGTTTCCTATTCTAACCATATTCCTATACTCTTAGAATCCAAGGGTTTCAAGTGATACAATACTCATAAAAACTACTGGATCTACTGGATCGTATAGGGCAGCAGGTGCTCAGGGTAATTTTCTGTTGGGGACTGGGAGTTAGCTCAGTGGTAGGGCACTTCCATCACATGCACAAGGCTCTGGGTTTCACCCCCAGCATCACAAAAGCAAGCAGGCAGGCAGGCAGGCAGGCAGGCAAACACACACACTAATTTTCTGTTGGGAAAACAGAGAGCTTTGTGAAAGGTGTCCTAGTAGTACTGTGGACTGCTTATCATAAAGTGCACGGGAATGTCTAAATAATTGAGCTCAACACAGAGACAGGTAGTAAAAATTAAATTCCAGAAAGAGTGTGCATCTGAAGCTAGCAGTCAATTCAAAGGCACAAGTTAATATCCAATTTAGGCAAAAAGCATATAATTATAGCATATTCCATAATAAAGAGAAGTCAAAGAATAAATGCTACAGAACCATTTCAACCATCACCAGTACAAAAGCAAGGAATACTTATGGAAACTGAATATTTCAAAGTAAAAATATTTTACATCAATAGTTTAATTATACAGAAAGATCGGTAGAAGTAATTAATTTAAAAATCACTATAAGAATTAGTGTTGTTTTCAAAAAAATGAAGAGGACTTTGTCTCTAATGCAACGTAGGAGGACAAGGGAAATTATGGCTTTCTCTCATCTTTACTTTCTAAATGAAGAAACACTTCTATCCCAGTAACCAAGTACTAAGAGGCTTCGTGTACATGCAAAGTACTTGGATTTTGTTTGAGGATTTTGCTTGCTTCCTCTTTGATGTCCTTACATGAGTCCCAATCCTCTGCAGCCTCAGGGAGACCCTCAAGCCTCTTCACAGCGAGGCTGCTGGAAAGAACTCTCTGGGCCCATCAATGCCACTGAGCGCTACCCAGGGATGCCCTCCCGGCTCACCAGCTGGCCAGCCACAGCCCAGGCGCAGGGCCTGGGTACCTGTTACCCGTCCTCTCCTGTGTGCTCACCCCCCCACCGACCCTCACGGTGACTCTCTCTGCCTGGTTGTCTGGACACCTCATGGCCCCACGCCCTGTGTCTTGTACAACACCTCATGAAGGAGGTTTCTCAGCTGAACCTGTGGGTCTAGACAAATTCCCTCCCAGTTGTCCCCAGGGCACCCTCTGAGGCTCAGCAGGTGCCCTGCACTACGGCCAGCTGCCTGTCTCTGCTGAGCCAGCTACAATGGCTCCTGAGTGTGCGCCCAGATCCCCCGCAGAGCCCCGGTGCATCAGAAACCCTACGCTGGGGCCCATCTGTGTGTGACTGGCCCCTGGGTGACTGGGGTGCCTGCCGAGGCTTAAGGACTGCTGCACACCAAGATTCTGGAAGGGCAAAAGCATGCTCTATTCCGAATCCCAGACCTGGGGCAGTCTCTGGCAACTACGAGCTCTGTTGAAAGCACACAAAATGCATTTTAAGTTGAAACAAAAATGCATGTGACGGGGCATATAACAGGTGCACTGCTGCTGCTGCTGCTGCTGCTGCTGCTGCTGCTGGTGTTCTTCTCCCAAATGTGTGCCGGAAACAGTAATGAGCTTTAGGAGTCTTTGAGGCCATCAGCTCCGGGACCCAGAAATCAGTGACCATAGCTCCATCTCCTGCTGTTTCAAGCCAAGTCAGGGACTATGGACCTAAGTCATTCTCCACACTGGCCAATACTCCTGCCTCTCTGCCCATGGGCAGGCAAGAGGAGCCCAGGGGAAATGGAGGGGGCAATGGCCCGACGCCATGAGAACCCTTGACTCTCACCAGCCCTGGCAGTGTTGTCCCCTGGGGGTTGAGAACACCCCACCTCTTGACCAAGAATCACCACCTTTCACTTCCAAAGAGGCTAAAGAACACAGGCAGTGCAGGACTTCTAGATGGCAAAGTGTTGTAACAGAGACCCCAATAAAAGGCGAACTTCTTTAAAGAGAGATGGTTCTCCTGAAATGAACCCAAGTAGACCAAACCTAAAGCAAATGAGCAGGGATCTTATCACATAAGTATTTTTCAGATAGAAAATGTCCTAAGAGCACATTTTAAAAAAACATTTGCTAAATGTTTATCAAGAAAAACTAATGTGCTCTTCAAAACAGTTGTTTTCTCTTGAAATCATCAGTTTGAAGTGGAACTAATGCAGGGCATCCTTAAGAAACACCCCATTAAGAAGGTCCAGCTAGCCAGGCGTGTGGCGCCCACCTGTAATCCCAGCACTTGGAAGGCTGAGGCAGGAGGATCGCTGTGAATTTGAGGGCAGCCTGGGTTACAAAGTGAGTTCAAAGCCAGCCTGAACTGAATAAATACGAGACCCTGGCTCAAAAAGACAAAAAGATAAAAAAAAAAAAGAAGGTCCAGTTAAAACAGACCCATTTAAAAGCTAATTCGATCAGATTAAAAAACACCGAGATGCCTCAACAGATTTCTTCTGAATTTTCTGTGCTTCACTAAAGCAACCAAAGAACAACACTGGTCTCAAATCCACACGTCTCATCCCTCCAGCCATACAGACGAACATCCCTTCTTGCTACTGTAACAGCAGTTACTACAAGGAGTGATGAAAAGACACAGTGCATGTTTAAATAAAGTACTTCTTATGGTAAAAAACAAAAAAAAAAAAACAAAAAAAAAAACACCATATCATGAAGGATAATGGGATAAGCGTATCTGAAGTAAGGGGAAGGATTTTGAGGATTTTAAGGAAGATTAATTGGCAATGTGTCTTCCACATTTTAAATTTAAGCCTTCACCACATTTCTGATCACTCTCCACTGATCAAATATTTATGGCAAATTCTATCAAAAAGAAACATTCGGTGTGTCCTTCCTTCACCTTATTCATTGAATCTGGTACCACACAACTTCTGGATCTTCCCCCAAATCAAAATGACCATGAAAGGTAAACATTCTGAACTGATTCGGGACATCAAGGCAGCCAGGACAGAACTCACAATTGAGGACTTCCAGAACTGCTTCAGAAAGTCGCAGGAACACCGGGGTAAGTATGTTTGAAGCAGGGAGGAGTGTTTGAGGTGGGATTAATGGCAATATGCCTTTCACTGTCGTGAATTTTTAAAATTTAAATTCTCATCACTGTTTAGGTCATACCTCATATTGGCTATGCTCAACCTCCCCTGCCTCAAAAGCTGAAGTGACAGCATTTCTCACTCAAACTCTGTTTAGTGATAGTTTCTCCACCAAAAATATTAGAAGTGAGACTCTCACAAGTGTATTTAAAAAAACAGCATTGAACATCGGACTTTAGATGAAGAGAGCAAGAGAAGGCCAAGGAAAATGTTCCTCGCATTGGATTCAGACACCAGAAAATGCTCTGAGGGTGAGAACTACCCAGCAGGAGCAATAAAGCCCATAGTCTGCACTGCTCCCGTGGATACATTCTACACGCAGCCCGGAGCAGAGCGAACACAGTCAGTCCTAGGCAGATCTCACAGAAACACGCCTGTGACACACAGACCACCTAGGCCCTAATGCAAACTTCATCCTGCGACCAACGGCAGCAACCTGTGGCCAGCCTCCAAACCAGCACTGTCGGTTATTATCTTTAAAATTAGTTTTTACCTCTTTCCACACGATGGTATGCCACATACCATTTCTTAACACTGAAAGAGAAAAAGAACAAGGTACTGGTTAATACTGATGGTAAGATTTTTTAAATATCGGCTATCTGAACACCCAAAGCTTCCTTGTAAGTTTGTATTTATTAATTCTAACATATAATATCCTTTTACAGAAAGGGATAACACCAGCAACCCCCCCATGGAACCCAGATTTATGTATCTCTGTAACACGTTAACATTCACACATGAACATAAATCTTTACCTATATATGTAATTAAAATCTATTTGTATTAAGCCCAAAAGTTTTTTTAAAAAACTGATGTCCTATAATTATAACAATAACAACAAAACCCTGATGTCAGACAATTATAACGATAACAACAAAACCCTGATGTCAGACAATTATAACGATAACAACATAACCCTGACGTCAGACAGTAATAACAACGTAACAATGCTGATGTAAAAACCAAAACATAAGAAATAAGAAAGGCAGGCAGAGATTACAAACCAAGGACAGGAATGTTTGAACATTTTATGAACACAAAAACTGTCTAGTTCCTAAAAAATACACCCTTCTGAAATCCTACAATACACAAATCCTGTCCAAATCTTAGTTATCAGGACTAGTATTTTGTTGATTATTTTACCATTTCTTTAAAGTATTTTTCAGGTTGTTTTTTCAATTCATCTCAGTACTATTAACCATGTACTCTGAAGCCTGTAAATGCAGCCTTACCCTTGTCTGTAGAGGAAATGGTCCACCCTCGTGCCTTACCTATTGTTTTCTTTTTGTTAACTGCATTGTCTGCCTTATGTCGTTTCTGTTACAGAAAGAAAAGAAAATGGTTCTGTCTTACATTCGAAAGTTCCAAGTGAATAATTAAGGTAGTAAACAATAAGGTCGCAGAAATCCTGGAGCCAAGAAACCAACTGTCCCCCTTAACTAACGGACAGGGAGGGGAGGGGAGGGAAAAAGATTGAAGACGTGTTAACTACAGGCACCAACCCCACAAGGAGTGTGACCATTAGGTACTGCACACATGTACTAAGAAATAAAAACTGAAAAAATAAAAGAAAGAAGAAAATAAAAATCTAACAACACTAATGCTATAAAACTCAGCCTGGTGATTCTATGATCTACTATTGTTTACTAAATTTAGATGTAGTCTACTTTGACTTAGATCATTATGTTTTGGTTCTAATAATCAACAAACACTTCCACCTATGAAGCCCCTCGCACTTCTCATTTATTTGCAAACAAATTAAAAGAATGATTTGATATAATAAGCCCAACACCAAGCAGGTGATTTCACTTTCAATTTGTATTATCTTATTTACCTGTTTCCAAAAAGCTATAATATGTGTGTGAGAGCAAGTACATGTAAGAGTGTGTGTGTGTGTGTGTGTGTGTGTGTCCGTCTGTCTGTGTGTATGTGCATGTGAGAGAGCCAGAGAGAGAGACGGAAAGACACAGAGAGACAGAGAGAGAGACACAGAGAGACAGAAGAGATGGGAGAGACAGAGACAGAGAGGTGAGGAAAGGACATAGTTTTAGCCAAGGAACTTGGAGATAGCCCAGGGTCGGGATGAGGAGACAGATTCTTATAACATGACCTCAGGCATAGCACTCACACTGCTGCTATCTAGATGGTACTGTAACATTTCTGCCTAAATTAGAGGCTCCACAGTAAGATATAAGAAACAACAGTGACAGACGTCAGAGTAAGTCTAGAGACCCAGACAATATAGAACAAAGTCAGAACTGCTCCAGGATCTCCGTGTGAGTGTCAGACACTCTGAGTACACACTCTCCCAAAAGTTACCATCATCAATCTAGGAGCTCATTAAGCTAGAGCCTAACTTCCTGTTTTAAAATATGACTGAAAGCAACATATATATTAGAAGCTATATTCTATATAATGTTTTTATTATCCACAAGCAGAAACTTACAAAATCTTCTACGATCTCTTTGATGCCTGCAATTGTTAGAATGATGATCAACGGCACCAGGGTGGTGTATCTTCCGGTTGGAGATACGTCTGGAATTTGCTGCAAGAGATCACAAGAAGGAGGCTGGCACATGGAAGCCCCCTCCATGAGAAAGAAAACACAGCACCCGCCGCTCACTCTTGCACAGTTCTATTTCACTTTTTACACACAAATACTTATTTTTAGAAGTAGTTACTTGACATATTTTTAAAATGATCCAATATTGATCGCATGCGTGGAATAGAAAAAGGGTTAAAAATATGACCCTCAAGCACCATCTCCCATGTCTCTTTTAGTAAGTGCAATTATCCTTAAGGCAGTATAAAAAGTCCCTCTGAATACAAAGGTTATGTTTGTTGCGCTATCATGGGACGAGGAAAACAAACTCGGTACAAATATTTTAACTTTGTTTCTCAGCTAAGGAACCTGTCAGCAAAATCTCATTTTGCCTGTAAGTAAGGGCGAGAATTGTGAGTAATTTTAAAAGCATTACCTGTAGTAAGGCAATGAAGAGGAAGAAGGCATTAGCAGCTCTTCTAATCTGCTCGTACAAGAATCGAGGTAGAAATGTCAACACGCTGTACTTGGCGGTACTGTCAGTCAAAGAAAAACGGCACTTAGTTATACATGGGAACCCTAAAACACAAGAACAAACGAAAACCTTCAAAAACTTCACAACTAGTTGTTAAAACAAAATGTTTCAAAACTCAGGACAAGGAACTCACTGTGCCCACATCTTTTTCCTGCAGAGCCGCACACTGGAGAAGGGCTCATCTGACCCGAAGGCTCAGAACTTCTGTGCTACAAACAACTCACACAAGCCTAACAGTTCAACGTGAGCTTTTGGACAAGTACCACCGATATTTTGTTTTGTTTTTTCAGTGCTGGGCAGGGAACCCAGGTCCTGGTGAAACTAGTAGAGTGCTCTCCCTCTGAGCTACATCCCCAGCACTTTTTATTTTTATTTTGAGATAGGCTATTACTAAGTTGCTCAGGCTGGCCTCAGCCTTTCCACATGCTGGGATTCAAGCGTGTGCTACGGGTTCAACGACCGCTGATGTTTTATGCTTCAACCGCACCCAGGTAATTCTTCCCCCTCCATACACCTTTAAGTTGGCCACCTTTGCTCGCGTTTTGCTTTGCCTTAGATGTCCTCTCCTTTCTACCCTGAATGTCTCCTCAGGTGTAACCTGTCCTTCCCCTTTTACCCTCCCATATTTGTCTTCCATTAAGTTTGGTCAAATATATGACAGCTCCTCCTCCCTTCAAGCCCACAGGATGGTAACCAGGCCTATACCACACAGTCTCTACTTTGATCTGTGTTCCATAGTTAGTCCTCCATGTCTGTAGGTTCTGCATCCGTGGATGCCAGCAACTATGAATCAAAAATATTTGGAAAAAAAAAGGAAATTGTATCTGAACTGAACACGTAGACCCTCTTTCTTGTCATTATTCCCAAAACAAAGCAGTACAACAAGTATTTGCATAGCATTTACACTGCATTCGGTATTATAAGTAATCCAGAGATGATTTAAATTATACAGAAGGATGTATATGGGTTTCATGCAAATGCTAGGGGATTTAAGCAACCTTGGATTATGGAATCCACTCAAGGTCCGAAAGTGATCCATCACAGACTCAGAATTAACTATATCTATTCCTTTATCCACAGAACAGTTACGGGAAAAGCAAGAATGCTCACTTCAATTCCGTATGTCCCTAACACACCAAACATAGTAATCAATGAACAATAAAATAAACCAAATACACAAACTGAGAACCTCATGGGGCAAAATGAACCCTAGGCTGCTTCCAGATTTACTGAAGAACAGTACCTTCTTGATTCCTAGCTTACTCTCAGAAGGCAAGACTGAGCCTTTTCTTAAATGAAATATATCCCTGCAGGATTATCTAGTAGGTTCCAAATGCACAGCAAATTGGAACACTGAAACAGACGGGTAAAGAGCTCAAGAGACAGCACATGCCTGAGGCACGCGTTTTGCTGTAAGAGCCCAACAAAGACAAATAAAACCAAAGCTCACAATTCAAAAAAGAGAAGAGCCCCAGGTCATTTGATGGAGCCAAAGGAGCCCCATGTAGCATTTACCGCTGCTGCCTCAGAGAAAATCAACTCTCTAGTACAATCACCTAGTATTTCACAAGACACATGATCAGCGTTGTCCTTAAAGATAAAGTGTTGTTCCTTCTTCCATGGGAGCTGAAGGTATATGATAAATTATAAGAACACCACTTTCAAGACAATTCAAACTTTTAAAAAATCTGCTGCTTAAAGATATGTCACTAAATTAGATAGAAAATTTGCTTACATGCAGCCCTTTTTTGTGTTGCCTGATGGTGTGCCAGGATATTTTTCTAAGAGTCTGCCAGACAGAATAAACTATCTGACAATAAGCTCACTAAGGAGTAGGGAAAATATATCAAGCTTATGTACACGATAGCTCCTGGTATAAAAGTCTCACCTACAAATCAGAGGACAAATTCAAATGGATCGTTACTTACTCCTTTTATGGCAGTACTGATCACTGAAAGAAAGCAACCAATAGTTATCAGCAAAGGACATAAATGTTCACACACTAAGATAAGAGTGTAGAAAGTATCTTCCAAGATACTTCCAACACACTTTGCCTGTAACATTTAAAAGTTTAATCTTATGCTACAAGATTTGTTATAGTATAAAATGAACCAATCACTGTACCAGGGCAAGAAAACCCATAGTGTTAATAGGAAAATGAAAGAAATTCCCAAAAGAATAGTGTGTTCACCTAGGTAAAGAAGTCACCCCCAAAAATTTCCTACTCATGCAGGTGTCACTACCCTCACCTCCTGCACAGCTGTTTCAGCAAGGAAGGCTTGGCTGCATGCGAGTGCCAAGCACTGGCCATCATTAGGACCCGAGAATTGGGAAAAACTGACTTGAGGAAAGAGAAATTTCCCATGGTTCACCCAGTCCCACCTTAAACATGTATTAGACTCATGAGTGATGTGAAAAATGATAAGGATTGTCAAAAATCCATCCATCCATCCAACCATCCA